AAATGACTGCGCCAGCTTGCGCAACCAAGCATTATACGCTTTTGTAAGCCGCCCTACTGCACCCAATGCTTGTTGGCACTGGAGTGGTCTTGCAATTTGTTTTTGTAGCGCACGACTTGGCGGTCTAATTTATCTACCAATTCGTCTATAGCGGCGTACAAATCTTGGTGGGCGCTGGCAGCAAAAAGGTCTTGACCTTTGACATGTATGTTGCACTCTGCGCACTGGCGCTTTTCCTTTTCCTTTTGGTTTTCCACAGTGAGCTTCATTTTTGCATCCACCACTTGGTCAAAATGTCGGCTAATGGCGTCCATCAGGAAGTTGATTTTTTCAAATAAAAAGCCGGTGTGGGAATCTAGCGAATCCATATCGCGCAAGATTTGGCGTGCTTCTTCAAACTGCTCTGCTGAGAGCATTTTGCGCCGCATCATAAAGCTGACCGCGCGGCGTGAGTCCATGACGTTGCGTTTAATCCAGCCGTTAATGTCTTCTTGTCTTGCAATCGTGGCCAAAACTTCGCTGGCCTCGCTATCTGTGACGTTGCCCTTTAGCACGTACTCGCTGATTTTTTCCAACTCATCGTGCACGCCCTCTAGGGAGTCGGCGCAGTATTCAGCGTCAGCGTCAAACAGCTTGAGCAGCACCTCCCTGGCATCGCTGATGAGACCAGGCATACGCCGCGCCCGCAGGCGCAGCAAGCGCATTACCGGAACGTCTTCATCATGAATGGAAAACAAAATGCCCTTGCTCTTTAGACTATCGTTATCCAAATTCATGATGAAGGCCACGCGCTCCGCTCTGGGGTCTTCGGCATCGTCTATTAAAAAATCGGTACGAATATGTAATTCGCCGTTATCTTCTTCGTAGAAGCGGGCAGACTCCTCAATGTCTTCATCCATCGCATCATCGGGGATGGAAATACCATAGTGCTGACGCACCCAGCGTTTTTCTTCAGGAGTGGGCGACTCTAAATCCACCCAAATGGGTTTAAATTTTGCCAAATCTTCAAGAGAATCAATTTCTTCTTGAAATAATCTGCCATTAACCAATGTGAAAATATTGAGCATGGTGTTTTTCCTCTCTAAGGTCTGTTTACCAGACTGCCCAGCTGCCAATGACAGAGGCTCAGTACGCGTTTGAAAAATATTTGTGCTTTCAAACGCGCACAGCCTTAGTAGGTAAAACCGCCAGATTTTATAACCAAGCTTTGCACC